CAGATAAATCAAGCAACCTTGTGATGGGATCTGGTAGTGGCCCTTTTCGGTCCTAAAACTTGACCACTGGGAAGATATTGTTTGTTATTTTTAGACTTGCATTTTGAGTGTAAGCTCTGCACATCAGCATGGAGAGGGCAAGAGAATTCCAAGTTAAGAAAGAACCCTTTGTCATTCATGGCAACTTCACCATGACATTAGAGGTCAAAATCATCTCAATGTATGGCTGCTTCCCAACATCACAGGCTTAATGCAACTGAACTTTTTAGTCCCTAGAAATAGCAGAAGTAAAACTTTGCAATTTCCATTTCAAAGAAACATACTTCAGGTAAAGATGAGGAGAGGTTCTAGGGAACTGAAAACAGGAAAGCTTTCCTTGGGGAAGCAGAAAACTTACAAAGACAGCAAAATCAACTCCCCCCATCCCCACACCAGCTTCTACTAGTGCATCACTTATTCATCACTTGTCTACAAATTCATATGGATGTGAGAGGACACATCCCATGAACTCTGTTCGAATTGCTCCACATCTCAACCAAGAGGAGCAAACTGTGCCATACTATGTGCACAGTGTGGAGTAATTCCAAGACAAAAGAACGTATTTTGTAATGTTTCAGAGCAAAAGGAGTTACAGGGGTATGGAATTGCTCAGTGCTGGCTTCTGTACTTGGAACTCTCCCTCAGAGATTGAGCTCTGTATAGACAGTACCTTTATTAGATGTATCAGTGCTTCTTGCAGCTGAGACCTACTGAGAACAGTAGGAGGTGTAGTTTGAATTTCTGTTGTTCCAAGTGTTAAAGGCGAAGAAGAACTGGCTTTATTCTCCACTTCAGTAGCCTTTGTAGCTGATTGCTGAAACACACTGGGAGACAAGAGGACTGAAGGTGTTACTGTTGTTGTGGCTGTAACAAACTGTGGAGGTGCGACCTGTAAGAGAACAGAAAATTAATAAGCACCATTTCCAGTAAGAATGAATGATGTTGTAAAGGCTGGAGAGATGAGCATAAAGAAAATTAAATAAATTGAAGCCACAATAATTCAGTCAGATATTACAAAATAGGTGCTGTTAATTAAGAAATATCTATCTATGAAGATTAATACCAATAGTAATTCTCATTTTCAAAGCTAAAGAAGGTAGCAGCCTTGAACATGCTTGCATGCAGACTCCTTGCTACCTTCCAGAATTTTTGAAACGTAACACATATAATGAAAGATGAGCTTTTCACCGAGCTAATCAAAGGATTCAGTAGCTGTTTTGCAGATTATTATTTCCCTTGGGGGTTCACAGAAAGGCAGTCCTGCTTCCATGGTCTCCTACGAATATTTTACTTCAAATTCGAAATGTATCTCAAAAATATTTAAAGAGACTGCTGAATTATAATTAAATTGTTGGAGTACACTGAAATACTCTCATTTTAAGTACATTTTCCCTTGTGGGGAATATGGGATGGGAATATTTTGAGGACCATCATCCCACCTCATTCTTCCACAGGTCTGTCTCTATTTCATGACAAAAATCCACATACTGCCTTTACCACTTTTCCTTTTAAACAAAAATTGCAAATTTATAAGACTACTATATTTGCATAAAGTGAACATGAGTAAACATCTTCTTTGAGCAGCTCTGCCATCTCCTGATAACTGCAATCATTAGTCAGTGTCATAATCAATGTCTTGCTCAGGCCTCCAGAATGACCAACGTGGTGAAAGAAAAAAGAAAATAAACAAGCCAATCTCACTCAAAAGAAAAGCAACACTAAATGTGATATATATAGATATTTGATGTGTCAGTAAAAGGAGTTCCCCTTGGATAACCAAAGATTTTCAGAAGAAAAAACCCTCCAAAACCATCTGAAGTTAATGTGTATTCAATAACATAAAGAGCAGCAGAACCAGAAAACTGATTTTGTTGTAGTCAAAACTGTGAAGACTCATAGTGTGGGATTTCAGCTGAAGACAATGTGTTTAAACCCACAAATACAGTTTACTACACAACATGCACGCATTCCTTAAAATTCCCAAATCCATATAAAATGTTTTTAGTTTGGTTATTATTTACTAACTGGGTCATGAACAGACTGTAGATCTTATCTCATAGCAGGCCAGTAGCTAGAACAGCATTTTACTTTAAGTAGCACCATTTTTACTGCCTTCACAATCAGATTTGGGCATGCTACTAAAACTGCTTTCATGTAGTGCAAGTTTGACAAGAATGAGGCAATTTCAGAGATTTGAAAAAGGAGGGGGTGGGTAAAGGAAAAGTAGAATTAAATTACAGATGGTATCCTAAAAATAACACATAACAAAAAGGTAATTAAAATAATTCTTGAAGGCTTGAGTATTACCAGTTATTTTTTTAACTGCAATCTGAAATTTAAAATTGACATTATTTTGAACTCTTACCCAAGACAGTTCTAATAATGTTAAATCTGAATTTAGATCAGTAAAACTTGCTATTAGACAGTCTTGCAATAACAAATGCTTGTTATTCTTTTCTTCCTCCATCTTCCATTTCTTTCACTTTGTATCTTTTCATAAAATACAAGGTTACCACAGGAAAACTAAGTGACAGTAAGGCAAGGGCTACATTTTATGCCTCTGGGCTGCTTAAGGCTGGGTTAAGGCTAATAGACCTGCTACAATATTATGGCATTAGTACTGCTTGTTTGAAACATTAAAAAAACCCAGATCAAATGGTGCAAACTCATTGCAAGGCTGCAAATCCAAAAATGTGTTCTCATTTCCACATTAGAACCAACAATAAGAGGCAGTCGAGAACTCCCCCTTCCTTCCTTTAGTGCAGCTTCTTTCTGCTTCACAACAGCTCCTTAAATATGGTCAATGGGTGATGACTATTTGAGATATCAACAGTGAACCACAGCTGGGTTTTCTCTTTTCTAGGAAAATCAATAAACAATTAGCAGAGGTACTTGTTCACTTACTTGACTTGCCTTAGACAAAGTCTTCGGCTGTGGAAACACTTCTGGTTCTTTGTTTTGTTGTACAGTCTAAATTAAAAAAAAAAAAAAAGAAAAAGGAAATTGTTAATTTTATTTATACTTTTAAATAAGGTACAGGTTCCACTTCCACAGCACCACCCCTGGCAACACTGATGAGCCTGTGACCTTCTGTCCCTTCTCAGATCAGCAGCTCTGAGCAGTCTGTTTATGACACAAGTACAGGTGAATTCTTTAGGACCCACTCACCACCCACTAAAAGCACCAGTTTGAAAAACCTCCTCCTCCTCCTCTACAGACAGGTCTGTCACTAGTAGCAGATGCTAATGATATAGAACTAATGGAACTGAATGTCTAACTTGGCAATTCAATCAATATGACACAGTGGAAGTCCTTCATTATTTTTAAAAGGCTACTATACAACAGCACGTTTCCAAGGGAAAAATACACATAAGTCTAAAAACAGCCTAAAACTTCAGGGATATCAGAATACCTGAAGGGGAGGGATTATCTTGCTGTTCAAGGCTGATGGCTTAGTGTGAGATTCTTTGAAGCTCTCTGGTGTTGCAAGTTGGCCAACCGAGGCAGAGATGTTCGGTGTTAAGGGCGTTTTAGTGAGAGACTGCTGTTGCATTTGGTCATGCTGTGGGGTCAACCTGAGTTTCTGGAGAAGATCAACACTTGTATGAGATGGATTTGAGACAGTTCCCGTGTTGGTTGTTGTCAAGGGTGCTATGAGCTGGCTTTGGCCAGCCATTAGGTTTTGTGGAGCGTGGTTCCCCTCAGACGGCGGCTGATTCACCAGTGGGGATATGGGCTTGGCAGCTTGCTGCATAACTTGCATTATACTGTTGCTTTGTTTTAGGCCAGGAAGCATCTGAGCAGGGGCAGCTTCCATTGTCGAGGCTGAATTAAGAACAGGGCTTAAACGAACTGAATAGCTTGAAACATTTTTTATATCAGGCTGGGAAACTGAAGCTGGAGGCATTAGCATAGGTGTTAAACAGTCCTGCTGATTGGCACTGGTTTTAACGCCTGGACTTTCTGATTTCCCGAGGGATTGTTGCATTACTGGTGACTGGTCAAAGGAAAAAGGCAAAAGCAAACTGTGCTGCTCTCTGGCAGATGCATCTGTCTGCAGCTTCTCCATTCTCTCTGCGTTGGGATACGGAGCAGTGGGCTGTTCCTTTTGTACAGAGGTTCCAAACAGTTCCTCCAAAGTCAGATGCTTCTGCCTTGACTGAAATGGCTAAAAAGAAGGGAAAAAGAAGTTTTAAGCTTAGAAATATAGACAGCACTGTGCAACTCCCAGGGTCTATTACAAATTCAAGAAAACTACAAGAGACAACTAGGTCAAATGGATGTAAAATCAAGTGTGCCCTATTTACAGGAATTTTGAAATTAATTTAATTTACAAGGAACATCCTGGCTATGGATGCTTTTTCTTTACAGCCTTCCTGGGACAGACTGTGCACTAGCAGTAAGGAAGGGAGAAGGCTATGGACTGTGTCATGAACATGGCACCTGCCATCATCCATCAGCCAGAACTACACAAGGCATTCTGGGGGGATGTGGGGAAAAACAGACATGTTGAACAAAATCCTCACTGAATTTATGAAGTTGGAAATAATGAAACGGCCTAAAAGATGGGAAAGGAACACAGAAAATAGAAGCTACACAACTGAACTAGCAATACATGCCTAGACAGTTTTTCTCACCCTTTTCATTAACAATGCAATAGATGTCACGATAGGTAAAAGAATCTGTATACACCTAAACATATGTGTATATATCTCCTTGAAAAGTGTGTATATATATGTAGACAGTTACATCTACCAGTCCTTTAAGTCTCTCCCAAAAATACGCATCTAGCTACACCACTGACATTGTTAGAAAAATATGATTTTAAGGATATCATCTTCTTAATATTTTACTGAAAATATTTTAAAATGTATTTTACTAAAGAGAAAAGAAACAACTATTAATACCACCCATAATCTCGAAATTTTCCTTTCTTTCCTTTTTTCTTTTATTTTTTTGAGGTTGCACAGGACTAGAAGTTATGTAAAACAGCTGGACTGAAATACAACATTCTGTTCAGAAGCCTGAATGGCCTGCAGCACAATTCCAGTGTATTCTGATGGTATGTCTAAACAAAGACACTACTTCACAATGACAACTACTGTACCATGACATTGCTCTGCTGGCTCCAATTTTCCCAGCACAGATAACAGCAGTGAAGCCATGGCAGTACAGGTGCCTAAAAAAACCTTGGGCTTGAAATCACACTCACTTTTGCCCTTGTTACTCACCTCTACTGCCATTGTTACTCATTTTTAGCCAGCTTCTAGTCAGGCACACTTTCACTTTGCAGCTGAGACATTCTATAGTTTATAAACCTTGTTAATTGTGTTAGGAATTTTTTCCTAGAAAGTTGTTCTTACTTTCCTCCACTGGTATTACTGTTCCAGAGACCTGTGCTTCAACTATTAAGATTCCATTAAGAGAAAAATCACTGTTCCAGATCATTTCAAACTCTGCTTTTGACTTCAGTATGATTAATTGACTAACTTTCCTTTATTAATACATTACAACAGTCAAGTAATCAACTGACATCTGTGCCATGCTCTTGAGCCAACTCAGACCAGCCCCCTTACATGGACAGTCTCAAACATGAAGTTAGTTTCCAGCATGAAGTACAAACCCCACCTTTTGCCTTGTCCACCTCTGGCTGAAGTATACTTTGAGCATATCATCAACTCAGTGTGTCATGAAGACAGATCAGCAGGGGTTGCAAAAAGGCAACATGACCACTTTATGACCACATGAGTGCAGGTGCAACTGCTGCTGCTCAAAGGGTTTCTCCAGAAATCATTTCAGGTAAGTTAAACTTTACAGTACGACCTCTGACTGCCAATTCAGGGTTCAGTATCAGTGTTCTGGTTCAGTTTTGCTGATTGCTGGCACGAAAGCATTGCATGATACAACTGATTTTAATTTTGAATGGCCAAGATACAACACTCGACTTCACAGTATCATAGAGCAGACATTTATTTTTATTCCCAAACATGTGGTATCTTTAGCATGAGATGAAGTTAGTCAATCAACATGCAAGTGTGACATTTTGGAGGGAGTTTAGGAATCTCACCATACTTAGCATATGCACACTATTTTTTAGGCATCTGTTTCAATTAGATGAAAAATGTATTTTTATAGTTGAAATGGAATGTCTTTCCAGTAGTCTTCCAGTTGTCCACATTATTAAAAATGTGGCTCAGCACCAACACAACTGTGATATATTCAAAGCCAGTTAACTGGCTTTACAGAATTATCATTTATGCTACCCAAGTAATTTTTTCCAGTATCTCTGCAGCTAATATTTTAAATAGCTCAACAGAATTAAAAATATGACATTTTACATGTTCTATAAATCGACTTTCCCTTTAATTAATCCAGAGCAATTTGTTAGAATCTTATCTTTCCAGTTTTTCCTTTACTAGTTATTTGATTCCTGTTCCGCAATTCCATGTGCTGTCAGGTGGAGCACTTCAGCTGATTTTGTACAGTCTATATGGAATGACCCAAAAGAAAATATCTGCTTTTAAAGCAAAGCCTCAGGCAACTCTGCTGCCAGGTCTCCAGACTGGCATGCACCAAGCAGAGCTGCCAGGGGTCACTCCAGCACTTATGCTGACCCAAAAGCAGAGGTGCTGTGATAGCGAATATCCCAGCAAACTCCCCACCCCTTATTTTAATTCATTAACTGTTCCTACCCCATCCCCTAAAACAGATTCCTGCTGCCCATACCCCAGTCTTAACTGCACTAGAAACTACTACTCCTCCAAACTAAGTATTGTGTTTAAAAGTACTAAGTGCAAGGTTGCCCACATTTTCATAGGGCACTTCATTTCTCCAACACGGTGGTTTATTGCATCAGAAACACACCAGTGAACTATGCAGGGAACTAAAGCTCCTGTCCTCTGTGGGGCATCTTCTGAGGAGCACCAGCACTGCCCCTCCCGTGCCCACTGGGTGGCACTGCAAGCAGGCCCAAGGCACTTCATGTCTTACTTACTGCAGAATTTACTTTTTTTCCTAAATTTATCTCTAAAATGTCTTGTATGAAGCTACAGCTTCCCTGTGCAGGATGGTAGCTGTAACTTCGAAGGCAGCACAGACAAGCCTGAAGGTCTGAGCCACGAGAACTCAGGGCTCTGAGCTCGTGTGTGAAAGGCTGCAACATTATGTCCACCTGAGTGATTCACTGCAATACTGTGGCACAGGCCAGTTTTTCTTGCTTCCCGTCTCTCAAGTCATCCTGCACATTACCACAGTCTGACTTCTTCCAGAATTCAAGCTGGCCCATTTAAACATACTTGGATATTCACAGCAGTGGGGACATTTCCTCATATTTTTAAAATGCTAAGTCAAAAGACAGAATTTAGGATCCTAAAAGTCTTCAAACTCATTAGTTTATTAGTGATAATACATTCAGCAGAAAACACTGCAGGCATTCTACCAAACAAACCAATTTTAGTACTGAAACAAAGTTCTACATGGGGGGAAAAAAAAAAAAAGCCCTTCATTTAGCATTGGATGAAACATACCTGCTCTTGCACTTGTAATGAAGGCTTTTGTTCTGAAGGCTCTGTGCTTTCTGGCTTTGGAGGATTTGAATTTTGTTGCATTCCACAACTTGATACAATACTTAAGTCACTGATCTGATTCTGAGGGGGCAAAAAAAAAATAAAATTAATATAAATACGTAGGTTTAAAATCTGCATTTACCCACTATACAATCCTGTTTACATGGCACTTGGACTGAAATACAGATGTACAAAGCACTGATTTTTGTGAGACACTGTCGAATTCACAAATTTTAGGAAATAAAAATCCTACCAAGACATCCAGAATCTGATATGTAGTCATAAAGCTCTTACTCTTTATTATTATATAAAAAACCCCAAACCAAAACACGACTGGCTTTATACGTTTTCACCAAGAAAGAAAACTACATATTAAAGAAAAGGTGGGCTTTTCACATCCTGTGTCTGCATTAGCTCCTAATGAGGAAGTTTGCTGCACTTCTTTAAATCAAGAACCCAATCTAGGAACTGCTTAGAAAAAAAAAATCCTGATGGAAATCACTCCAAGTGGCTGAAAGAGAGCTTGTCACCAGCTTATTTCCACCAGGTTTAACCAAACACGTACATATATTTTCAAGTGTTAATTTAATTTTCTGTGAACAAGACAAAAACAGACAAGCAAGTTGCACTATAACAGTCAGTATGTTTACAGATTGAGTTGACTTTCATCTTTAATAAATATATACATAAACAACTACAGAAACTGTATTACAGTTTACATCACCACTGAAAAACCCCAAACTGTAGAACAATCCAGCTTTCAGTGGATAAACTACACCTTATGCATATGATATAGCTCAGCACTGGACAACACATGATGATTGCCCTGGTCACTTACAGCAGTAAAATACAGGTTAAACTTTTTAGCAACAGATTAAAAATCAATCTGAGCTTTATTCTTTTGTTTTCAAATTCTAATTGAAAGCAATAAATACAAAATCAAGATGATATATTGTGATTTAGGGATAGAGGCGAGAAGCAAATTGTCTCATCTTTCATTGACTTGAAGGTCAAAACTTTGTGCCTGAAATGCTGGAGGCCTTCTAGTTACAAAATCAGGAAAGGCAGCGTTCTTTTCACTAGAGGATGAGCTGCAGTGTGTTTCCATGCTCATACTGAAATACACACCCAAACCACACTATAAAAAGCATCCATTCACTTCATTAAAAAAAAAATTTCAGAGTTCATTCATTTTCACATATGGGCTTGATGTAGTGTGTACTTGAAGGATTAAGCTGATTTGGAATCCTAGATTAAATCACTCAGACCTTCATAAATCTCTTTTTCACTCCCTCTGCCCCCTTCTCATGCTGACACTCTGCCAATCTCATGTGGGCTGCACACAAGGATTACTGTATGATCCATCTGGAATGTACCAGGCAGATAAGTACTTTCTGCTCCTAAATACAAATTCATGTGTAATTACCAAGTGCCATAACATTCCTTAAAAAGGAAAAATTAAGACAGGAAAGGTCTCTCAAGAAGCCATGCTCCAAATGAATTGGTTTCTTTATCATGTTAAGGTCGGCACACCTTGGCTACAAGGAGTTCCAAAGTTAACGTGCCAGAGGTTTGCTGTTAAAGCTGAGGTGGTCAACGAAACATTCTCCAAAGAAGCTTGTTTGAAACATGACCAACATTGTTCAATTCTGCTTATCTGGCAACTGCTACACAACTACAGTCACAGAGGGCTATGATGGGATCATGTTGAACAGATCCAGCTTGCAGTTCATGTCACACAAAAAGGAAATGAAGTCACTATTGCAGTTTCACCAGCGTTCTAGAAGCATCAAGACATAATCACACACACATAAAACAACAAGAAATCAACCCCCCTAATTTTGAAGTAACTCTACTGTAACCTATGCCCTGCATATTTCCCTGTTGTATTACTGATACCACAGACATTGACCGTTCACTAAAAATAATCTGCACACACCCATTGCCTCTTTAACAGAATTTTACTTGTCCATGATTCTTGTAACTTTTTTTCTAGCTTTTCAGTAGTCTCACATGAAAAAGATCTGAAAATTAGAAGACAACGTGGAATATCCCAAGTCTTTATAAGCCATCTGTTGGAAATGTGTATTAACCAATATTGCTTCATCACATCCTAAGAGGGCACCAAAACAGTGTGTTCTTGTGGTGGGTTTTTTTTTCCTTCTTTCCAAAACGACTTCAATTTCTTCAAATCTGTCTAAATTGATACACCATTGAAAGATGAACCATTCAGGTTTTGACGTTTCCTTCTGTGATCTCACAAAAGGTGCTACTTCCACAATGCTGGCCTTCACACAAAGACCTCCCCAAACAGCACTGATGCACACACAATCAGAATTATTTTTTTTATCTGTATTTTAAAGCATTGAAAAAAACAGGCTTTTTCTTGGACATTAATATCTAGCCTGGGTCAAAGATATTGGACTGTTTGTCACATTCACTGGCCATCAAGCTACATGAGACAGTGACAAGATAAATTGGTTCATACAAGGCTTAA